CCTTCCTTTTGGATTCTCCAAAGTAGCTGAGGAGAGGGGAGAAATCAACAATTAAGTTTCTTTTCCTTTTTACACAGGTTTTTATTTATTTATTTATTTATTTATTTTGACTCTTTATACACCATGTGGAAACATAGACGCTTCTTAAAATTTATACACATTTATTTAACCATTAAAATAAAAGTGAGGGTAAATTGTGAAAACAAACAAACAACAACAACAAAAACATTCTTTTGACAGAATTCCCCACAGGAAGGAATTAATTGATGATGATTCCTGGACTTGTAAGGATATTCCTGATTTTCTAAATCCCATGAATCCCATAAATACATCTTGTCAAACAAGAGGCTGTGATTTTTGCTTTGTTAAATGTGGCCCCTGTATTAGGATTATAAATAGCTGTGACTATAGTGTCTGCGATGGACTGAATTGTGTCCCGTCCAGATTCACAGGTTGAAATCCTAACCCCAGTATGGCTGTATTTGGAGTAACGAAGCAATTTAAGTTTGAATGAGGTCATGGGGTGGAGCCTTGGTTCTGCAGAATTCATGCCCTTATAAAAGGAGACACCAGAGAGTCAATAGCTTGCTGTCCCTGCCATGTGAGGATGCAGTGGAAAAGGCAGAAAACTACAAGCAAGGAAGGGAACCCTTGCCGGAACCTAACCATCTGGCACCTTGACCTTGCACTTCCCAGTCTCCAAAACGTTGAGAAAATAAATTTCTGTTTAAGCCACTTAATCTGTGGAATTTTATTATGGCAGCCTAAGCAGACTAACACTGTTAATAATATAATAAAATTGGATTTTTAAAATATCAAACAGTAGAACTGACGCATCCAGCTTAGTACTTATTTTGTAGGCTATTTATGTATTGCATGGATGCTGGTGTAACACAAAACTTTATTGAAGCTTCTCTTTTACATTTTCTTTTTGGAGATAATTGGCGAGCTATACAAGAAGACCAGCTGTGTAACTTTATAGTCAAAATCTTGTTTTTTAACCAAAAATGATATTTTTCAACTTGCCATATATCCTATTAACTTAATTGGGCATCCATTATTTTGGGTTGTATTAAGGGCTCAAATTTCCCCCAAAGGATAGAGACTTGCAACTGTTGAGAATATTCAAAAGATTATTTGTTGAACAAATTAATTTACCATAGGCTTTGAAAGTCCAAACAACAGAGACTCAAAGAACTCACAGATGGGTGACAAAAACCACTGCTGGCAATCTCTGAGAACTCAGAGAGAATTGGAGAGGTGCCAGGAAACTAGAGCCGGATAAATATTGTCCAATATCTTTTTAAAAGAGAAAAACGCAAATATAGGAAATTGTAGCTTAACACACTTGATATTTTTGACTCCCAATCAGATTTTATAAGCAAATAGTTGAGTCCAGAATTTAAGGGAATATAATCAAAAGCATTGTTGAAATTAAGAAAAATTAAGATCTACTTAGTCTCTGATGTTGCCTCTGAGAACAAACTGGAGAAATGAGCAAAATGACATGACAATTAAGGAGCTTTGTAGCTTTATGTGTAATTGAGTGAGTCTCCATGAAAAGTGTTGACACAGAAGAAAGCTAACAGTATATTGCTAGTAGTGAAAAAGTAGGTCGTAAACCAATAGAGTACAATAGTATTGTTGTATATAATATGGAGATAGATGTTAAAATGTAAATAAAAATTCCTGGGAAAGTCCCAAAATGTTATCAGTGATTATCTCTGGGAATTATTTTTCCTTTTTGGCTTTTCTGCTTTTCTAAATTTTATATGGTTAAGTAAGAGACAATTTTTTTTAATTGCAAAAGAAAATGGTTAAGGCCGGGTGTGGTGGCTCACACTTGTAATCCCAGCACTTTGGGAGGCTGAGAAGAGTGAATCATTTGAGGTCAGGAGTTCAAGACCAGCCTGGCCAACATGGTGAAACCCTGTCTCTATTAAAAATACAAAAATTAGCCAGGCGGTAGTGGCTCACAGCAATAATCCCAGCTACCTGAGAGGCTGAAGCAGAAGAATTGCTTGAACCTAGGAGGCGGAGGTTGTGGTGAGCTGAGATTGTGCCACTGAACTCCAGTCTAGGGGACAGAGTGAACCCTATCTCAAAAAAAAAAAAAAAAAAAAAAAAAAAAAAAAGAGAGAGAAAACAAAAGAAAGAAAGAAAAAGAAAAGGTCAAAAAAAATCATAGGAGAACAGAAATGTCAACCAATACATTGATTTTTATGTGTAGGAAGATGCTGTGAAGAAATGGCATTGCTTTTACTGTAATAGCATATTCTTACTATGTGAATGTTGCCATACTTTATTGGCTGAAATTTTCTTGTTACCAGAATCACCAGGGATACAGATTCTGGGTTTTATCATTCTGATACAGTAGACTTGGAGTGAGGCTTGGAAGTTTAGCCACAGGGAATTGGTCAAATTATGGCACATTATTAAGCTGAAATCATATATCCATTAGCAATAAGGTAGAGAAGACTACTTAATGGCCTAGGACATTATTCATAATATGTTAAATAAAAATTACTGGTTATAAAATAATACAATGTAATTTTATAAGTAAGAGGAATTTTTACACACACACAAGCATACCCGAAATGTTAAGCATAATTAGTCACTTCTGTAATGGAATCGTTCTTTGTATTTTATTCTTTTTGATTTGTTGCATTTTTCTAAATTTTTTATACTTTTCATTTGTTGGTTTTGTAGTTATTTTTAAACCATCATTTGCATCCTTTCCTTTATAGGGGTATAATTGCAAAAGATAGAGTTGACAGAAATTGTATAATGAAGAGACATTTTTAATCAAAGAATCCTTCTGTTTTCATTTTTAAAAATCCACATGGAAACATTAGTGAGGTGAGGTTAATTACTTGGTATGATCCCTTACAAATTGGTGAAATAGTGATTGTTCAGGGTATACTGTAAATCTAATCCTGATCTACATTTCCACCAAGAACTCCTCCCATTATCCTTCTCGAGGTTATTTCGAGGAGATGGCATTCCCTTGTGCAGGAGAGGCAGTGGTTACACGTGTTTGCATGTTTATTTTCCAACAAGATCTTTTTTCGAACTATCTGTCCCCACATGGGATGGCCCCAGGGCCTCACAGGGCTGCTTCTCAAATTAAATAGTTTCACCAAGTTCATTGGTCATTTTCCCAAATGTATTAAATTTACATTTCAGACTTATTTGTTAGGGTGGCTACTACATTAGCACTGTGTTCTAGAGACTAGCGATAAATGAGGCTTAAACTTCTGCTGTGGTTTAAGTGTCACCTGCAAAACTTATATTAAAATTTAATTGCCATTGTGACAGTATTAATAAGTGTGACTTTGGCTAGGCAAGGTGGCTCACGCCTATAATCCCAGCACTTTGGGAGACCGAGGTGGGTGTATCATCTGAGGTCAGGAGTTCAAGACCAGCCTGGCCAATATGGTGAAACCCATCTCTACTAAAAACACAAAAATTAGCTGGGCATGGTGGCAGGCGCTTGTAATCCCAGCTACTCGGGAGGCTGAGGCAGGAGAATCGCTCGAAACCAGGAGGTGGAGGTTGCAGTGAGCTGAGATCATGCCATTGCACTCCATCCTGAGTGACAAGAGTGAACTTCGACTCAAAACAAAAAAACAAAAAAGAAGTATGACTTTTAAGAAGTGAGTAATATCGGGAGAACCTGCTCCGGATGGTTACATGGGTTCTTTTCTATTTCCTAGGTGTCTCCGCCGGTTTGAGAAATAAACGGAAAGAGTACAAGAGAGAGAAATTTAAAGCTGGGTGTCCGGGGGAGACATCATGTGTCGGCAGGATCCATGATGTTCCCCGAGTCGTAAAACCAGCAAGTTTTTATTAACAATTTTCAAAAGGGGAGGGAGTACACGAATAGGGTGTGGGTCACAGAGATCACATACTTCACAAGGTAATAAAATATCACAAAGCAAATGGAGGCAGGGTGAGATCACAGGACCACCAGATGGGGCGAAATTAAAATTGCTAATGAAGTTTCCAGCCCACATTGTAATTGATAACATCGTATCAGGAAACAGGGTTTGAGAGCAGACAACATGTCTGACCGAAATTTATTAGGCGGGAATTTCCTCATCCTAATAAGCCTGGGAGCGCTACAGGAGACCGGGGCTTATTTCATCCTTTTCGCTTGACCATAAAAGACGGCACGCCTTAAGGGGGCCATCTACAAACCTACCCTCAGGGCGCATTCTCTTTCTCAAGGATGTTCCTTGCTGAGAAAAAGAATTCAGCGATATTTCTCCTATTTGCTTTTGAAAGAGGAGAAATATGGCTCTGTTCCATCCAGCTCACTGGCGGCCGGTTCAAAGTTACCTCCCTTGTTCCCTGAACATCAATGTTATCCTGTTCTTTTCTCAAGATGCCCAGATTTCATATTCAAACACACATGCTCTACAAACAATTTGTGCAGTTGACACAACCATCACAGGGTCCTGAGGCGACATTCATCCTCCTCAGTTTACGAAGAAGATGATGGGATTAAGAGATTAAAGTAAAGACAGGCATAGGAAGTCACAAGGGTATTGATTGGGGAAGTGATAAATGTCCATGAAATCTTCACAATTTATGTTCAGAGATTACAGTAAAGACAGTCATAAGAAATTATAAAAGTATAAATTTGGGGAACTAATAAATGTCCATGAAATCGTCACAATTTATGTTCTTCTGCCACGGCTTCAGTCAGTCACTCCGTTCAGGGTCCCTGACTTCCCACAACAGAGTAAGCCATGAGAGCTCCACTCTCATGTAATGGTTAATGTCAATAGAGTGGGTTGTTATAAAGGGGACCCTCTCTGTCTCTTGCTCTTGCTCTTGCACAGAGAAGGCCCTCTGCCTTCTGCCATGGTAAGGCACAGCAAGAAGGTCCTCACCAGATATCGTCCCTCAACCTTGGACTTCCCAGACTCCAGAACTGTAAGAAATTAATTACTGTTATTTATAAACTACCCAGTCTGTGGTATTCTGATGTAGTAATACAAAATGGACTAAGACACCCCCTAAACAGTTTCCCAAAAACTTGATTTAGGTAGAGAGATTGTGATTTTTTTAAATCTGTAAGTTCAGTATAGTGTGAATGATGATGGTAAGCTTAGAACATGAGATTGGAAAGATGTTTGTCATCCTTGGCTACACAGGAGAATTTACTCCGGAGGCTTTTTTAAAAATAGAGATGCCTTTTCCCTACCACTAGAACGTTTAATTACTAGATGTAGGGTGAGGGTCCAGTATCCTGTAGGTTAAAAAATCTTCCCAAGTAATTCTGATCTAGAGCTGAGTTTGAGATCCACTCTATTACAGCAACTAATTCTGTCTATGATGTTCCAGAATACAGCAGTGAAGAAATGCTAGTTGAATAGAATCTGGGAGGACGAATAGAATTTGACATCAAAGGATAATCTAACAGAAAAAAAATAGAGGAATTCAAAGCCAAGATTCCTGGCTAGGACTGGGTTGATGTGGGAATTTGTAAGTGTTCAGCATGGTGGAAGCATGGAGGTCATAGGGCAGGTCTCATGTGTGCAGGAAGACAGCACGGAGAGGGTTCTGGAAAGTGCATACAGGTTACTGGACAGGATCATCTAGAATATCTAGGTTGGGTCTAGAATGTGAGGGGCCAGAGAACTTATCATGAACCAAGAGTGTGTGGGCATTAGGGATCCAGCCAAGGCCATAGTATAAGGGAGAGACCTGGTCATAGTGCCTGTGGTGGAATGGGAAGAGGCCACAGACAGTGGAGACTACTGGGCAGTATTCACAAGACATCTCTGAGGCAGAAGTCACAGGAAATGGCCACTGTGAACACTGTGTTATCTATTAGCAATATCACTTCTGGAATTTTTTGAGCTTTCACTTCAATATTCTTTCCTCAAATGACAAAGCATTTCTTTGTATTCAAATATCCCCAGTTATTTTACCTTTTCTCTATACATTTAGGTAATACTAAATGAGAGAGAAAAAATGGTCATGACAATAGAATGAGGTTATATGAATGTCTATATAAAATATATGTGTGTATATGTATGTATACATTCTATTTTTTATATTCACATATATTTTTTTTTTCTTATTATCAACAATCACCTTCCCTAGAGCACTTTCTGAGTATAAATCTATGAGCTTTGTAAGCGCAGCACCAGGAGAATTTCTGGAGCCCAGTCTCTGCCTGTGTTTCTTTGTGCTCTCTCACTTGACATTTCTGAATGCAAATATGTCTGACAAGTGTAAATAAGGGTGTCACAGCTCGGAATAGTACCCATTTCCGCCTTGCCATCTCTTATCATGTATGTGTTCAGGGATGAATATGCCATTTTCATATTCTAATATTTTCACAGTTGGAATTTTTTACAGAGTGCAATGGTGAGCTCTATGGCTTCCAAGGTGAAGAAATGGATCTGCTTTATATCCTTGTAGAATTCAGTGCATTTGCAAATACTTTGAAAATATGCCGAAATCAAAAAAAGGAATACTCGGTGTTCAGCCAGTGGACAGAAGAAGCGTCTGCTGCACAGTACTTCCAGGTCAGCAGGGTTATCCTTTGTGGAATAAATTGATTTGTTTCAAGGTGTGCCTCTGAACACATCTGGGCAGGGTGGGTGGAGAGGAGATAATTGATACTGCAGTGGTTCTCAAAATGTGGTCGCCAGACCAGCAGCATCAGCATTACATAGATTTAAATCCCCATTCTGCCACTTATTACATTGTCAGGACTTGGGCAAGTTGCTGGATCTTTCTGAGCCTCAGCTTCCTCATCTGAGAAACATAATTCATCTGATTGTCATGATGCTTTAATTTAATTAGATGAGGCTGTGAAGCACTTAGCATGGTACCTGGCCCATAGAAAGGCCTTAAATGGTGCCAATTACAACAATAATATTTCTTACTAGTATTCAGGGATTTATATACACTACATCACCCAACTGGCTTGCCTCTGTTTCCATCAGGATTACCATGATTACTACCTTCTGCCCCACTTCCATCTCCACCAGGATTTCTATCCAAGTTCTGTTTTTCTGTTGAGGCTAATGGGGCTCATCAGGGCAGGCCATCCCTTTTGGCCCTGGATCCTTTCTTTCTTGACTCTATTTTTTTTTTTTTTTTTTTTTTTGATAGGGTCTCGCTCTATTGCCTAGGCTGGAGCACACTGGTGTGATTATAGCTCACTGCAGCTTCCAACTCTTGGGCTCAAGTGATCCTCCTACTTTAACCTCCCAAAGTTCTGGGATTGCAGGTGTCAACCATCCCAACTTGTCTATTACTCTTGATTTGTGCTCTCTCATAACCTCTGATTTAGGAAGGGATCTTGAGTACTTATCTCATCAATATCTAGGCCTGAATCTATTGAATCTATGTAGTCAGAAGTCTGGGATCTACTTAGAATTCTATGCTTTACATATAGGGCCAACATGGCCAAGTCACTGTGTCTCTCAGAGCCTCAGCTTCTCTGTTTGTGAAAGATCATGTCTTTCTTGACCAAAGTGGCTGTCAGAATCAGATGCTCATGATCGTGCTGACTTTGTGGGTTGTTTACTCCCCCTCTTTTCTCCTTCCCTTGTAGTTTTATGGCTGCATTTCTCAACAGCAGAACATGATGCAACATTTTGTGAGGACAGTCACTTACCACAGAGCCATCCTCCAGAATCACATTGACTTTAGAGACAAGGTAATACCGGCAGCAGGTTATGAATCTCATGCATTTCAGAAACCTTTTCAAGACCAGAATCAAAATGAAACTTTAGTAGAATTACCATATGACCCAGAAATTCCCCTTCTAGTTATACACCTAAAAGAATTGAAACAGGCATTCAAACAAATACTTGTACACAAATGTTCATAACAGCGTTATTCAAAATAGCCAGAAAGTGGAAACAGTCCAAATGCCCATCAACTGAAGAATATATAAGCAAAATGTGGTATATTTACGCATGGAATATTATGACTATTATTCACATTTGTATTATTCATAAGAAGGGATGCAATGCTGATAAATGCCTCACCATGGATGAACCCCAAAAACATGCTAAGTGAAAGAAGCCATTCACAAAAGATCATGTGATTCCATTTATGTGAAGCATCAGAATAGATAAATTTATCGAGATAGAAAGTGCACTAGTGGTTGCCAGGGATGAGGGAGAAAGGGAAATAGGAAGTGACTGCTTAATGGGGACAGAGTTTCCTTTGGGGGTGATAAAAATATCTTATAACTAGATAGAGGTAATGGTCACCCAATGTAATGAATGTATTAAATGACACCATACTGTACACTTTAAAGTAGTTAATGGCTAATTTGATGTTATGTGAATTTATCTCACTAAAATTATTAACCTTTGAGTGTCAGGAACTCGAGAGACTGAATATACTGTTTTGGTGCATCAAACAGTTTAGGAGCTTTATTGCCACATAATAAATAGCTCTTCGTGAGACACTCTACTTCAGTTTTTTCATAGACTCCACAAGTACATGCATTTATTTCCCTCGTGAAATGGATATGAATGATGAATGGTTGCCAGCACATTATACAACTATTGTCTAGGGTTCTTCTACCTGTTAAAGAGAAAAACTGTTCAAAACACTCAACAGCTTATCTCTGAGGCAACAGTACTAGTCCAAAGACTTGGCAGTATGGGACCTAGTTTCATATTTTCTCCTTAACTAGCTGTGTGATCTTAGGCAAAATGCTGAACTTCTCTAAGCCTCACAGTCTAGTCTACTGACATAATAATTGTAGATCCATGGTCTTTGAGTTTTGCAGCATTACTCCCCAGGAAGGTTGTGGTGGATATTGAAATAATTATCCCAATAATCATGCCTCCCTGTATCCACACATACATAGTCATGTAGCTTCTTCTCTCATCAAGAGGCATTCTAATATTTTGCCCCTTATCTCTGTGCTGACTTTGTGACTGCTTTGACCAATAGAATATGACAGCGGTGATGTTGTTTGAGTTCCAGAGCCTAGGCCCTAAGGAACCTCATAGCTTTTGCTCTTAATTTCTTGGAACCCAGTGATTATCATACTGTGAAGGAGTCTAGCCTGCTAGAGTTCAGAGGTCACATGGAGAACTGAGGCACCTCAGCCAACAGCTGCCAGACCTGTGAGCAAGGCCATCTTTGGTCTTCCAGTCCAACCAACCCTCCTGCTGGCTGCAGAAGAATGAACAAATCCAAGCAAGACCAGGAGAGAAACTGCCCAGCCCTCCCACAGAATTGAGAAAATTCATAAATTGTTTCTGGTTTAAGTTACTAAATATTCTTGCATCTTTACCTCTGTTTTCACTATTGTTGCATAATAGTAGTTATAGTTGTATACAATACAATTATACAGCTGCATACAAGTATATACAACTGTATGGTATTGTTATACAACAACGTTTAATGAAAACAGAGGAAAAGATGAATGAAAGGTAGTGATACATAGGCCCCCAGCTAGAAGTTGGTTTGCACATGGCTTTCTATTCTTTGTCATCTCCATTCTGCTATTGAGCCCATCAGTGAAGTTTTTATTTTGGTTGTCATATTTTTCAATGCCAAAATTTCCATTTGGCACTTTGTTCTGTCATCTGTGTCTTGGCTGACACTTTCTATTTTCCATTGGTTTTAGCGGTGTTCATGATTGCTGGTTGGAAGTTTTTTAATAATAGCTGTTTTAAAAATCTTTGTCAGATTGTTCTGACTTCTATGTCATGGCAGTGTTAGTTTCAGCTGATTATCTTTTCCCATAAGAATTGAGGTTTTCCCAATTCTTCTTGGTTGGATTTGGGCTGCAAGTTCCCTCCCCATAGTTGATCTTCTGAGGGCTATGTTTCATATGTCAATTCATTTTTCAAAGCCTTGGCAGTGCTATTTGGATCTGTCCACTATGTATGTCACCCAGTGGTCAGCCTGGCACCTGGGCAGGGTTCTCAAAGTTTGGTATGCTAATTAGTACCAGATCCATGCTTGCACAGGCTGAGGATGACCCCAGGAATGTATAAATGAAAGTGTATGGAGATGCTTTGCCAAGCTCCTTCCTTTCCGTGATACTTTTTGGTTTCCTGTGATCACTTTTCAGTCTCTTGCCAACAAGTTTACTCTGCCATGTACTTCCATGACTTTGCCTGCATATTGGCCAAGCAGAGAGAGACCGAGAGAGGAAAAAAAGCACTGGGGGTCAGCCCAGCCTTGGGAATGACAACTCCACTGAATGGGGAGGAAGGTTTCCTTCCCTTATAGTTTTGTCTAATTCAGGCTGATGTTGGTAATACCACAAGATTCTTGGGGATAAGAATGTGGAAGAAGGGAGGAAAAGGAAGGAAACAGAGGGAAGAGAGGAGGGGGAGAAGAGAGAAACACAGAGTATTTTCACACCCTGACTATATGGAATTTACTTTCCCGCTGCTAAAACCAGAACTACAGGGTGTCTCAGGACGTCTCTTTGTACCCTGGTGCCCATTTCTGGTGTGTCGACTTTAGGCCAGGGTTTACTGGAGGAAAAAAGGAGTAAACTCACTGTTGGTTGGGTAGTATTTCAAATACCAGTCTTATCTCCTGATATGGTTTGACTCTGTGTCCCCACCAAAATCTCATCTTGAATTGTAGTTCCCATAATCCCCACATGTCCTGGGAGGGACCTGGTGGGAGGTAATGTAATCATGGGTTGGTTACCCTCATGCTGTTCTTGGGATAATGATGAATTCTCATGGGATGTGATGGTTTTATAAAAGGCTTTTCCCCTTTTGCTTGGCACTTCTCCTTCCTGCCATCATGTGAAGAAGGATGTGTTTGCTTCCCCTTCTGCCATGATTACAAATTTCCTAAGGCCTCCCTAGCCATGTTGAATTGTGAGTCAATTAAACCTCTTTCCTTTATAAATTACCCAGTCTCAGGTATGTCTTTATTAGCAGCGTGAGAATGGACTAATACATTTCCTAATCTGCCTGACATTCTTAACTCTTCGGAGTCCTAAAATAGTTGCTCGAGGCATTCTGTTCAGGTGTTACAGCTGTATTCAGTGAGAAAGAGAGAGAGAGAGAGAGAGGGTGAAGTGGGCCTCCTCCAACCCACCCAGGACTGGACACTACTAAAAGCCACTTCTATGTGCTCTGATGGGTGAAAGTAATGGGTAAGAGGCAAAGGTGAGACCAGAAATGGCGGAGTTTAGCCAGAGTCTTATATGTCGTATGTCTTGAGGTGCCCAGCAAACAACTTACTTTGCCAGTGGGACATGCCTGGTTAACAATTATGAAGTAAACATTCCCAATGAAGAGGATCTGCTAGGATAGATGGGCAGGATGAAGACAAAGGAGAAAAACTAGTTCATTTTTGAGCTTATCTGGTCTTCAAGGTTGTGAGTAAGCAATCTTGTCAACCTAATGTAGGTTTTTTCCAATTAAAATAAAATTTAACTCTGAACTGCTGGTTTCTTCTTCATGGTTTGAGCATGTTTCCTGGAGGCATTAGTTTTATTTAGGAAATATTCTCTCTCTGTACAGGGACTTAGTTTTAATCTGTAATCTATTTTCTATGTTATCTATGATCGATT